CCCCAAAACCCCAAAACCCCAAAACCCCATGATTAGTGAATCGTTTGCAAATAATGAAATTAAGTATTTAGTAGATAGTCAATCATTCTAGTGCCTTTCAATCTACCTATTAGTTTCTCTCTTCTGTTCAATTTCATTGATCTTATCTCTATTTTTTCTTAAGTTATTTTTCTCAAATTCAACCAGTTTTTGCAACTCATTTTTCTTGGGCTTCTGGTTTTTCTAATTTGATTATTTGGACTAGTCTTCAACTTCATCATCCTTAGTAACGAATATCTTTTTCAATTACTAGAGTCTCAATTTTTCAGCCTCTTCTACATTTTAAATCTTCTTATCCTAAGCTATGGGAACTTCAATCAACCCATTCACCCAGTTTGTTTAGTCTATTAGTCTTCTATCCTTGCTTATTTTATCTACATCCAAATGCTATGGAATTTTGTAAAGGTTCATTTATTCCTCCATAATTCTAAGTCTAGCCTCTTCTAACTCTTTACGCTTTCTTTCCAATTCTATTTCATAGTCTGATTTACCCTTGTTTACTGGAATGTTTGTCACGAGGAATTCTTCACTATAAAATATATAGATCATAAATGTTAGTACATACAGTTTTTTGTCTCTAATTTCAAATTTGCCGAGTGTAGAGTACTAGAATTAAGGTGCTTTACCACCAGCTGAAATCAAGCCAATTGCTTTAGACATAGGATCATCCGAAGCATCCTCTTAAATCAATGTACTATTTTTGTATTAACTCTCCACTTGTTTCAATGATACACCCTTGTGTCTCTTTTATGAGTCTTTCTTTTTTTGTGAGATCAATTTATCGATATCAAAGTCTCCATAAATATTTTGATCACTTTTATCATCTTTATCGCTCTATTAACTTTAATGTTTAGACATTCCGCCCTTAAGCTAATTAAATATTACTCTTAATCATCCCTCTAATTTCTTATATTTGATTCAAGGCCTTCCAACTCTTAAGAATTTTTCCTCTTGATTAGATTTTTTATGATAGATTCTTGCAAATCATCATCAGAATTAATCTATTTGGTTTAACCAGATTCGACTTGTTCATCTTCATCATCCCTTTATCTAATTTTTCTCTTTTAGACTTTCTTAAACATTTTAGAATTAAAGAATTAAATACAATAATTTATCAATTATCACTATAGTACTATGGGGTTTTGGGGTTTTGGGGTTTTGGGG